ACATTTGTTGCCATCATCATTCTCGAAACATTTGCTCTCCACTTAAGTCCCTGGCATCGGGTCCTCATTTTTTCCCTCCCTCCCCGCTGCCCCCTTGTGGGAAACAGAAGGATTTCTCTCAAGTGCTCTCCCCCAAATGTATGCAGGTTGCCTAGGGGACCCAGGCCCTTGTGACGCCCGCCCCGCCCGGCTCCCGCGTTGGGGGTGGGGCGCAGAGCCCCGGAGACCCGGCGGCGGCCTCCGAGCAGCCCCTGGACGCCGGGCCCACCCACCTTCGCAGCGCGCTGTGCGCACAGGGCGCCGCGGACCGCAGCCAACCGGGCGGCCGGCCTTACTCGATCCCCGCGCCTCTGGCGTGCGGGGTGGCTGAAGCCTGCAGGCTCTGCAGGGCCCCGGAGCTCTGTCCGATCAGTCGTCTGTCCGCCTTTGGAGAGTCTGAAGTCTGTCCCACGTTTTCTCCCGCTCCGTCGGACCCCCTCTGGGTAGGGCCCGCGGGACGGCTCCATCTGGCTGTCGGGGCCTGGGAGGCGGCGGCGGTCTCAGCGAGCCGTTATTCCAGGGGGCTGGCCGTTTCCAGGGGTCTTTGGGTGGGAGGAGACCCGTCCTGGTGCTTCAGGTGTGGCTGACAAGCCCTTAGGACCCCGTGGCTGCTCAGCAAAGTAGCACGCTTCTCAGGCCCTGCCACTGGGGCCTTAAAGGTGCTGGGTGGGACCCCACCTTTTCCTAACTTTGCTCCCCCGTGCTCTACTGGATGTTTGCCAAACCGAAAGCAAACAAACGACTCCCTCTCATCAAGTCAAGACTGACTCACAGCACCCATGTGGGTTTCCGACTGACCATCACTGTTCACAGGAGTAGAAAGCCCAGTCTTTCTCCCGAGGAGCTGATGGTGGTTTTGAACTGCTGACTATGCTGCTCACAGCCCAACGTTTAGCCACTACACCACCAGCGCTCCTTTTTGGTTGCAACACCTATAAATGCACCTGTACAAGCAGTCTCTCTCCAACCTGCCCATACCCCCTTGTCTGCCCACTCCTGTCCTGCGTGCCTGTCTCTGTACTCAGACACGGATGATGGCCCCTGGCGGGAGCAGACTGTGTGTGGGAAAGCATTGGCCTTGGTGTCCCTCCCTGGATCTCCCTTTGCTGGCCTCGCCTTAATGCGTGTCTCCTTCACCTTCACCTCAGGTCATGCATGTCTGCCTCCCGGCTAGTGACTGCCCTCCCACCCAGGTAGCTATGCAACAGTGACTCTTTCTGATGACAAACCTTTTCTTTCTATCTGGACTTTCTATCTGATCCTTCTGTGATCGCCTGCTGTCATTCAGCACACCGTCTTCCGGGTTCAACCACGTGAGGTGGTGTCCACAGACCCCTGTAGTCTTTGACTACAGGTGCCTTGTTCCACCCCATTGGTGGGCCACAGGTGTCTGTCTTTGTCCTTTGGTGGATTTTGTTGAGAACTTTTGCTTCTATGTTGAGGCAAGATCTTGGTCCATAGCTTTCTTTCTTTCTTAGTAGGACTTTGCCCAGTTTGGGCGTCAGGGTGATGCTTGCTTCTGAGAATTCCTTCAGGAGTATTTGCCCTTTTTGCATGACGTGGGATTTGTTTTCATGGAACTGCTGTTAGTCTGTCTCTGACTGTGTGGGAGTCCCATCAGGGGAGCCTGCTGGGCCTGGACTTATTTTGTTGAGAAACTTGTTTCTTTTTTAATGGTTCCTTTCTTCTTGGCTATAGGGCTGTGAAAGTTCTCTTCTCAGACTGTGTTAGTTTGGTTAGCTCGTGTGTTTCAGAGAAACATTTTCTCTGGTAGGCTTTCAACTTTCTTGGAGTGCCGTTCCTGATCTCTAACAGATCGGGGCACTGCCATCAGGGTGGCTCTGACTCAGTGGCCCTGCAGGGCAGATTGTAAGTACCCTGTGGTTTTCAGGACTGCAGACCTTTATGGCAGGAGTGGCTGGTAGTTTCGAACTACTGACCTTATGGATAGCAGTCCAAATGCATAACCTACTATGCCACCAGGGATCACTCTCAGTTCCTGGTAGTGTTCTGTCTTTGTAGTACATTGTTTTTCCTTTTCTTTGTTTTTTTTTCATATGTTTGGAATTGACTTACATGGTCACTAAAGAATCCAAGTCCATTTACTTTCTCTCCTTTTTTTAGCCACTGAGATCGCTGTTGAAAGATACGGGGCGAGGAATCTGCAGAGTTTTTAAGGCTCTGATCTTTCTCCCTTTTTTTTTTAGTCATTTCAAGGTATTTGTTTATTGTGTTTTTTAAAGAGAGACTCACTCTGTGGGGGGGCACAGCCCATCTCAGCAATGAAATCAGCAGCAGGGTCCTGTTAAACATCCCCATTGGTTATTCTCCCTCTCTCCCCTCTCCCTTCCTCTACCATTTCCTGCAACGCCCTCTCCTTGCCCCACCTGTCTCTGGCCTCCTCCTGGTCTTCAATTTCTTGCCCTTTGGTGAGGAAAAACACCTTCCTCTTCCTTAGAATGATGGCATCACTAAGTAAATTGTTTTTTTAAGATTGACTAACTTTGGTAAGCAAAAGGTTCTTTAGTTTTGTCCATGTCTTTCAATGTGTAAAAGAGTCGTCATCGTTTGTAATTGATGCATACTATTACATTCTACAAACGTTCCAGAGGTTTTTCATCTATTCCTCGATAATAGGAGTTTTGGGCTATTTCCATGTTTTTGCTATTATGGAAATCATACAATAAACACAAGTGTGGAAGTGTCTATCTGTGTTGTGTTCTTTTACGCAGGATATATACCCGGTAGAGGGGTTGTAGGATCATCAGGTAACTGGATTTGCATTTGTTTAAGGAAGCACCGCTCTGCTCTCTGCAGGGGCTGGGCGATTCTGCAGTGCCACGACAATGGATGAACACTGCAACCTCCACATCCCTCCGGCATTTCTTTCTTTCGGATGTTTTGTTTTTAATTTTGCTTAGAGGGTCAGTGTGAGATGGTATCTCCTCACTTTTTAATTTGTATTTATTTTCTTGCTAATGAATTCGAGCATTTCTTCACATAGTTGTGGGTCACCTGGATGTCCTCATCTTTAGGAAATAGTCTTGTCATATCTTGTACCCATGTTTTTTTAAAATCATTTTATTGGGGGCTCATACAACTCTTATCACAAGCCATTCATACATACATCGCGTCAAGCACATTTGTACATTTGTTGCCATCATCATTCTCGAAACATTTGCTCTCCACTTAAGTCCCTGGCATCGGGTCCTC